TGAATTAGTCCTGATATCAGTTTTAGATCATGCATTTTGGGCAATATATTAGTCATGATACAAGTAGAAGAACGTAAGGTCTTCTACGAATGTAAGAATATAACGACTGTACCGGTACTGAAATCAGACTTGATCGATTCATTTTGGACAATATTGCTGATTCAGGCATGATATCTATTGGCTTTCTACATTCATGATGCATTGGTGTACATGTAGTTAATCCCCACCCATTCCAGATGCATTAATTAGAAAGCAGCTTAGATTTAGTTGATGAATGCATGCATTATGCTGTTACTTCTACAAGAACTACTGCTTAGCTGATTTTCAATATATGCATGCGACAGTTGTTTTAATCATCAGATTGTAATAGTCCAATTTTATTGAGTAAACATGAAGCCTTGCACTGTAGATGTCTCATGTTTGTACACTATAGTTTGTAAATTTTATGTGTGTATTATCGATTATGGCCATTATAAGTTTGTGTATTGTAGCCATTATTATGCGTATATGTAATTTTTAGCCAATATATTACATTTGTGGATTATACATGTCATGTAGCTTGTAGCCATTATGTTTGCCAACTAGTTTGAAGCCATTATGCATGCATGTACTTGTACATGCATGTGTTTAAGTATTATAGTAATTTTTATCATAGTTATTATATGTCTATAGTGCCTATGCATGTTTTTGTACTGCAAGCTGGTTGACATGTATCTTTTTTAACAGATATACATGTACATGCATCAGCATGTGGAGATGAGCTTTTCATTATGATGTATGTCTTAGTTTATTATCATTGCTTTGTAAATTAAGGTTAATTATCAATTTGAAAAAATTTTGACATTTTAAAATTGAGGAATTGTATCTGTGTGTATAGTGTATACATGTATCACTTAAACATTGACATCAGTGTTGTATTAGTTAATTGTTTGGTTACTTTAATTTGGTTAATTATTGTTTGTTGTATTGGTTACGTAGTATTCATTATCTCTGGTTAACTATAACTATAACTAAATCTATTTTGCTCAGCAAAATTATAATCTTAGTTAACTAAACTATAATTCTTTCATTTGATGTTGAATTGACTAGAATCATAACTCATATGGCTTGTCAAAACTATAACTAAAATGGAATTAACAGTTTTATACTAGTACTAGTCATATCTACTTATTAATTAAAATCTACTTTCATTTGACCAATGAAAGTACTTTCATTGGTATTTCATCTACTTTCAGTTGACTCTGTTGAGAGAGTACTTTTTGTTAG